AGACAGTCCCCCAAAACCAAACGAAGCTACCCACTCCAAACATCAGCTTAATCAAAGCTCTCCTGGTATTAGGACGGAGCTAAGATTTTCGAGACTCGAAACAGGCGCCTGCAAAGCCTCATCCCTCGTCCTCGAATGATTCCGAGCTTCGTCCTTCGACCTTTCCTGCCACGTTGGTGCATCTACTGTCCAGCCGATATGAGAGCACATTATCCAATGCCAAGTTATTAGACGTGTGTACGGTGCTGATGAGGTGTCTTTGTAAATAACCGAGTTGTAGAGGATAGTAGTTATTGGATGGCTATTTTTGGCGGGCCGGGCGGAAACCCCCACGCGGCAGAAACTTAGATAGCCGAGCGTACTACGTGTCGTAACCTTGTAAGAAACACTTTATGAGTGCTCGCTAATTAGCGAGATTGAAAGCGCTGAACGGCTCGGTGACCGGCTCGCCGAGGGCGTTCACTCTGGCTTTATTCCTCAGGGCTTGCAGGTATGTGCATTCCAGTCAAGACGCTCCCAATACAGACTGACATATACGTAGCATGTTATTAAGAACGACTTTGAGGTGGGTTACCAAAACACCAAACTCGACTTCGATCACAACGACAAATGCTCCCCTGAGGAGCTAGCAACTATATGGAATAAAATTAAGGAGATCTTCCTCAACGCGCGAGATTGTAAGGATGGAAGCCGAGATGAGAATGCGTGGTGCGATGATGTGGTACGGCCTCTGGTCTATTTGGCCATATATTTGTACGGTAACGGAAAATGGTGGTTCCAGAGCGTGTACGCCGTCTCCCAAATCCTCCCAGGGCATAGCTAACCTGCTATTTACTTAGTCAGTCAGTCGCAGTCTATCAATCCCCGCTACCTCTCTACGATCCCGGTCCCCACGCCTACTAGCCGGCTTCTAAAGAGTGCGAACATAACATGTTTTGCGTATAGCGGGGACGCCCCGCCCTCATGTCATCCGGACGCCGACAACACCGAACGACATCTCGCCATGGCGCCTACATAACGAGACCTTCTCTAAGCCCATACCAAGTCGCGAGTGTCGCACACCAACTGGCTTTGTGTTGAGTCATTCGCGAAGCCCTAAGCTACCGCTGAGCTGCCTCTAACGATACAACGACGGCGAACCGCATCCTCTCGGTCTATATTTGCTGATCCAGCCTCTCTCTACGGTATGTCCCTTAGCATTCGGTGATGGCTGGCCTGACCCATTTTAAACAGGGCGATATTATGGAGCAAAAAGGGGATCAGATATCTAGTGCATCGCAGGTTGGGTTCGTGTCTCCATTTAAGACTTCCTTGCAGAGATTCTGCTCCATGTCTTTGATAGCCATCTTGGCGCTTGCGGCATGACTAGCGAAGGCTACGATATTTAAAAGTTGGATGTATGCATAGTGTTGCCTTCTAATACATGGACTGCTACTTTCTGCCGCTCCGTTATCAATGGACGCATGCACACTTTATTATCATATGCATCTCGCGGGTCGGGCGTAAGAATTGTTTCAAATCAAGGACAGTCACTTTGCGGGAGTGTCGAGGGAGTTGCGTAACTTGATGCGTCAAACCCCCTACCAGCGCCTATTAATAGTGAGCTAGCACTACTCGCCAGTCATACAACGAGAATGCGATGAAGAGCCGCCATGGCCACAAATGAAATGTACTCCCTGGATCAGAGATGTGTCTCCTACTTGGAGAGCCATCCCCAAAACCTACCACTCTTCTTCTCCTACCACGTTTTCCACAAACCAGGGCAGGAAAACCTCTTCCGACCACACTGAAACTAAATACCGTATCGCCGCCAACAACCGATAACAGCCAGCAATCGTTGCAGTATTCCCGATAGGCTCCGGGTGCTTAATGAAATACACCATGTCTTCAGTATCCACTGCCCACTGCAGCTCCCATACATGTCCATATACGATGATGCATGGTAATGGCGTGCATGGTATGCCTGGTTTCGTGAACCGAGAGACCCCCACCTGCCAGGCTGTTGTCCACATCGCAAGTTTGGAGTTCGCATCTAGCTCATCATTGTGGCCCCTCTTTGTCTTAATGGCAAGGAAAGCTGGTTGGTAGCGGATGTACGCGGTTTGATTAATCGTCCGCAGTTCATCGTTGTCAAGTTCGTCGCGGAGGAGAGTTTGGATATTTCTCTTAGTTGCGGAGGGGGGTATGTGGGAGATGACGAAATCAACGACCTTGGGGTCCTTGAGATCGTCCTTGAAGGCGGACATGAATGCTTTGATAGGCATTGCGGTAGTCCTGCCAGCTGTAAGTATGTTACCGTATGTTGGGACGGAGAAAGATTTGTGTTAATGACGTACACATTATGGGATTCGTACCGGTCTTCGTAAGGTTTCAAGGCGCGGTCGAGGATCTTTTGGTGGATTTTCGAATTCCAGCCCGCTTCATGGGCATTCGCCCAATACTTGACTGTGCTGTCCCGCACCTCACACACATACTCAAAGTCGCGGTCATCGAGTCTACTTGTTTCGTGCGATGTAGGTGCTGATGTCGGTGATAACATGGAAGGACGCAGTTGTTCTTTTTCTTCAAATTGTGCCCGTAAGCTGTCAGTACAGCAGCTAAAGTATAAGTATTGCATTGCCCTGCAGGTAACAAACCTTGATAGAATGCGGTATGATACCAATGTTGGCGCAAATCTCCTCTAGTGCATTCCAATAGGGGCGTAGTACTTCCGGTATTGGACGCTCACCGTTCACGAATCCAACGAATACGGGCTTATCGAATATGTGCATATCATCTAAACTTTTGACAGGGCTGGGATTCCAGCTCCTGCTCTTGCTTTTTCGAGATGATGTCGATGTAGCATTAGACGCAGGCTCGCTGACCACATATTCCGTTAATGCTAGCAACTCCCCATATCGCGACTGTGAATAATGCGACGTGCTTGGTGACGAGACGAAATTTCCTGTAGCCTCAATGGATGTGAAAACGGAACTAACAGCAGCGGGACCTGTTGTTCTTGCATTCTGTGGTCTTCTTCGCGGCCTTATTTCACCATCTCGATTCTGTGGATGTCGTAGTCTGGCGCTCGACTTCTGGCTATCTGCTGTTCGACCTAATCGCCCGCTCAGTTGTTGGTTGTCTTGCTCGGAGGTTTTCGAGGGGTCAGGACTATCGGGAGGATGAGGCATATTCGCTGTGGTCTCGTGTAGCGCGTGCCGCTTGCTTGATTGTGGTGGTGGTTGGGCTTGTAGGCGAGGTCTTTTCTGAGCGGCGAGTCCCTGTTCAGCTGCGACAGCAGAAGTAGTAATAGAAACGTCACCGCATTCTTGGAGCGCACGACGCTTTAAAGGCCACATTTGTGGTTCTTGAGCGCGAGGAAATTGATGTTGGAGAGCCGAAGGAGATGCTCGGTGTATGTCTTCGTGCTCAGCGGCGGCAGCGAGGTCGCCGAGCCATGCGGAGATGACACTCCGGGGCAGGGGCATGAAAGAGATATGAATGATTTAATCTGTGGAGCAATAGAGGGCAGAGATGGTGGAGACGGCGGTAGGTGGACGAGGTGCAGATGTTGTTTCTGTTGAGCCAAGTCTCGTTACCGAGCGACGTCACCGACATATATCGTGAGGTGACTCAGCAACCTAAGCCGACTTTTGCGAGGTCCAGAAAGAGACTCAATCGCTCCTATCTGCTATCAAGGAAATCGGATTAGAATTGAACAATGTACCAATCGAATCAACAGCTATACGGAAAGTCTCGAGAGCCGCCCAGGAAGTTTCGAGGTTACCCGCAACCAGTTGAACTCCATGCAACCCGCTCAACCATTCCGCCCAAGGTTGAAAAATTGCGAATTCTCGTGAATCCAGTTAGAGACACTTCGCTGCTAGCACTGGCTGTTGCGGCTTTTGATTCCGACGTACAAGGCTCATGGCGACGAAATGCGAAGTCACGACAAGGAGGCGAGATTCCTGGCGAGATTCCTGGTTGGGGTACCCTGATACGATCACCCTCCGCCATAGCAACAGTATTCAGCCTACACCACCTAAGATACCAAGCGAGAGGTCTTCTTCGAGCCTCAGAACCTTACCATAGATGTCTGAAAGGTTGTTGTCTGGAAGGCAACAACCTTGTAGCGCTTATGGCGTACAGATCTTCGCGACATCTACCCGTAGCATCAGGCACAGTATGTACGTACATACCGATACAGTCCCTCCGGCTCGGGTTTCTAGGCCAGGAACGGGCCGCATAGCGCGCTCCACTATAAAGGTAAATCTCTCGTACAAAAGATCTCCGAATGATCAGTGCGTGCCACACGCTACTACAAGGGTTCCCATGAACGGGCTCCTAGCACGTGTTAGTGCGCTTCCATACAAACTCTGTTCGTGTAATAATGGGCTAGACTAATTTGACATGAGGAGTGTTGACTCGATAATGATTACGGCGCTGGAGGGACGGGAACAAGTCGTTGCGGACGAGCTGGGCCAGCGGGCCCTTCTGACTGAGACTGCAATTGCAAGGCGGAAAGGATGGAGGTAATAAGCTGTTCGCCGTTTCGTTAGATCCATCCGGTTTGACTACAGCTGCTGGCGTGGGGCAGAAACCCAGCCCAAATTTGACCTCCTAATAATTACCATGCGTGCGAAGGGATAGCTCGGTCTCGTGCGTCACGCCTGTGTCTGCTCTTTATTTTATAATATATAGGACCTGGAAAGAAGTTGATGCTAGTAGATAGGCCAACGAAGATTTTCCAGGCAGCGCGATTTTCAGCCTATCCGGTTGCCAGACCGGAAGAACCCGTAAGCTGCAGGGGCAAAGCACGGACAAGAAGCGGCATCTTCGCAGGGCGACAGCATCGCAACGCGGCAAAAAAAGTAGGATCGGAGGTAGCTAGCAAGATAGCGGCCGTCTTGCAGCACAATACAGTACTGATATTGAGGGGTGCAGCGTCGTAAGAAAGAAGACCTATTCAGTCCGATTATTAATGCAAGGCTTGCAGGCAAAAATTGAACAAAAAAGAATTTTGCTCCCTGCCAGACTCGAACTGGCGACCTTGGGATTACTCTAGACAATGCTAGATCATACAATATGAGACCCACGTGATAACCAACTACACCAAGGAAGCTTTTATCATTTGATGCAGAGTTCTCGAATAAGAATATATATATAGTACAAGCACTCATTGCAAAGATTTTCACAAACGAGCTGCTAGTTTCGTTTAGCCCCGCGCTATCGATATAACCGAATATTTACCGGAACAGAAACCTCCTCTAGTGGGGCGGTAGAAGCCTCTAATTGGACAAATCATGTTTCGTAACATTTATATCGAGATCAGCACTGGCCTAGCGCACGTATCGATGTGGTATGCATTGTCCAGTTTGCTCTGTTTGCTCATTTGAGCTTGAAATAGATCCCTTTGCTTGCCGCAGATCGTAGCGCACGTAGAGAGATGAGATTTTGTACATCTCTTGGTCGATCAAATATTAGCACTAGTTAGGCGTCTATTCTGTAGGGAGCTTAATTGCACATTGATCCAATTCAGCTGATCGGGAATCCAAATCTTATCCTCGGCCCTAAGCCGATAGATTAGGATTCATCTCTCATGACCTAGTCAGGAACTTAAATCTTACTTTTCTATCTATCTTGTTGTGGGCTTCGAGCTGTTAGATGGCAAGTGGGAGTAGTGGAAATCAGTTGATTGTATTAAGGAGGGACTAACTACAGTATATATAGGCGACAGCGCAATGAGTAAGCAATGAAAGGGATTCAAGGAACCTGATAAAACAACTAGGAAAAGGAGCCCTTTCAGGACTAGCAGCCATAAACAAAGCACGTGAGCTGAGCCTCAACATATCTACTAGTCCCTTGGTGTGAATTTGCAGTTCACTAGGCCTGGCTGCGCAGTGACCTGATCCCTGAGATCAGGCCTCTTAATTTTGGGTCATACCCATCAGCGAAGCTGACATTATATTTCTTCAAGAACAACGCGGTTATGAGACGTAGCTCAGCGTAGGCAAGAACTTTTCCAGGGCATTGTCGATGACCTATATAACAACGTTAGCAATTGTGGCATGCGAAAGATGGGAAGAAGAAAGTAACTCATCGAAGGAGAGTGGGCCCAATGCACGACAGTCCTTCAACAACTCTGGGCGAGTAGCCCATCTTTCGGTGATGAAATCGTCTGCCCTCTCGAAAGCGCTTTCTTCTACATCAGGCATTATTACGTTGTTCTTGAAGGAAGTTACAACGTTACGTCTCATTATGACGTATTTTGGTGCTGTGATTTTGGTGCCTGGAGGAACAAACTGCCCATCTACGGTCACGCCGTTTGGCCCGGTCATATGTCCGTTACCCGTCATAGGTTGAGAAGCCATAGTGGGTTGTTGTCCTATAGTGAACGTTAGCAAAGGAAGCGCGAGGTGATTGAGAGAAGTATGGTAAAGTAAAGCGAGGTGAGGTGAAGACTTCAGGGATTCTTGGTAGCTAGGAAAGATGGACAGGATAACTACCTCGGAAGCTTATGTAGAGAAGACGAGGTTGCAAGTTAGCAATTTCTAGAGACAATGGGAGAGCCGGGACACTCTAGCATCGAGAAGATGATGTAGGGAAGATGAAGTACGGGATCAATTATAGCACCTCTCGGTCGCCCCTCCCACTCCTATTGAAGAATATATTCGTGGTGTTCTTGTCGGTAAATGGAATATGTGTATTCTTACTCGTAAGGTTGCAAACATTTTCATTTCACGTCAACCTCTAGGCCTAGTAATATGCTGCGTTAGCGACGGCGGACTCCCGATCTAGGTATGCCGAAGAACTTGTAGAGGTAATTCACAATGATGACACCGTTGCGGGTGGCCTCTACCTCCTCTCTGTAATCTACTGCCCTCTGTACCCACAAAGCAGTTCCGCTACTGCCGAGACCTTCTTCTTACATCTGTCCTACCGGCACAACCACACACATGCACAAGGGGCGAAGGTAGCATTACAGTGCTGCTATGATGGCTCTGCCGCGCTATTGGTCTGAGCGGTGGCAGTATCGCATGTGGACTGTCGTTAGCTCGTCAAATGGCGTATGAGTACTTTGCAGAACACGAAGACCGGAGCAGGATGATTGTACCGATTAGATGTATGGTAGATGAGGATCACATATCGCATATGTAGCTCGGAAAACATAAGATGCGCGAAGGATTTCTCTCGGGACTAGGTTCTAGGTCGTGCTCGAACTAAGTGAGGATGGGACAGCCTTGTTGAGGAAGATTCGAACTTGATGAGAATCAGACGCGATTGGTCATCGTCACCTGCGGAAAGGCGCAGCGATAGGAATCCTCGACGCCCTCCGTCCTCGCACGCACGCACGCATTGCCAGAGCGATGGAGTTCGATGAAGTTCGTAAAGACTCTTTGGGCATTCCTTGAGATTTTCCAAAAAAAATACAGCTGAGGTCATGCGAGACTTAATTGTTACCAGTATTCGTCTTGATCAAGCTTTGAAGGTTGACGATGAAGAGTCTCAGGATATAGTTGGCGACTTTGGTCAATTATCGCCTGCGTTCCGAGTACAGATTCATTCAAAGTATAGCAATCAGGCTGATTTCTCTATTTTCTGCTATTAGCCCACGCAAACTCCTCTTGGAAGACACATAGCTTTTGTTGCGCATAGCTCGTCTGCATGATATCACATTAGAGTACTCTACATACCCGGAGCCGAAACACCAATGCAAAACTTGTAGAACATGGTAATAGAGTTCAATATAAAGAAGCTAATATGACCATTAAATCCAAATTACGACGCAGCAGATAGCCAAGGGTATCCCAAGAATTCAACAAACAGTAGAAGTTGACGGAAGCGCACTACGAAGCCTCATCCACACCATCCCCAGACACATCCATGCGTGAAGAAATCGACACAGGTGGAGAAGGCGGTTTGTCTTGGGTCTGAGACCGAACAAGAGACCCTCGTTTCGACTTGGGCAAGTCGTCGATCACGTCATGCGTCCGCTTGCGCGTCGGCGACGGTGCGAATTCCGGTGGCTCCACAGACATATCCCTGGGAAGCCTAACATTGTCCACAGTGCTCTGCAGCCGCCTCTCCTCCCGCTTCTTCTTTACAATTCTCGTCCACTGCGACATTGCAAACAAGGCCAGGGCGGCGCGTCCAAAGGGCGTGGTGCGGGCGGGCTTAAGTCCGAGCCAGTCAATTCTTCGCAGTCCAATGACTTGCTTATTGTTAAAAGCTTCGGACAGCTTTTTAGTGAGAAATTCGATCTGCTCGCGGTTGAGCGAGTCGTGCCGGAGCGCGAAGCGGAGCGTCAGATAGCCGCGTGGTGGATGGGAGAGCGCCAATGGGAAGGACTTCTGCTTGCGGTCCTTCCACGGCTTGAGGGGCGCGAGGCGGACATGACGCTCATTGTATAGCCATAGCTGCGACGGCGAACCATGCCGAAGCGGGTTCCTGAGTATGTCCTGGTTTAGACGCGCAGTAGTGAAGGGTTTGTCGCCAAATTCCTTCAACAGCTTATCCAAAGCCACTAGTAGAGCGCGGGTAAATGACCTCTTCCCAGGCGCGGCCGTTGTCTCATTGATTGCGCACGCGCTAAGCAGCTCAAACGTCCTGCTCTCGTCATTCCCCGACTTGGTGTGGTTGCTTGCATAGCAAGTGTCGAGAATAGTCAGGACATCGCCTTCGACGACGTCAGAGCGGAGGAACGCCTCTGCCGAGTTCCAGTTGGCGTGGGCTTCCTTCTTGAACCGGGAGCCCTTGTTGCTGTCTGGGTCTTCAAATGCCGTCAGCTCCAAGTAGCTTCGGTCCTCCCGGTATACGCCATGCCCCGTGTAGTATACGATGAGCAAGCTGGTCGGCCCGTCGTAATTCTCTACAAAGTCGTTAAGGTAGCGGTTAAGCTGGAGCTGAGGCTTGCTGGACACATTGAGGTGGACGAGTTCAGTGTCGTAGTAGAAGCGATCACGGAACATGGCTTGGAGCTCTTCTGCCTGTGGGTCGCGTCAGCACGTGAGCGGAGATAGGGGTTGGGGCAGTGTCTTGCGCACCTCTTCTCGCGTCTTCAGTTCGTCTAGTGCGTCATCCCACTTGACGAGCAGCACGGCGACCTTCTCGTAGCCGTCGGGCAGGTCCATGTTTTTTGATATGCCCTCCTCCCACCACAACTGCATGGCCGCGGCGCGCTTGCGGTTAGTCTCGGCTTCCGCATTCGTGCCATCTCTCTTGACCACATGCGTGGTGCGGAATGGTGTTGGCGCATCGCTGGGGTCGTCTTCGATGGACTTGATTCGGAAGTCGGCGTGGATGGTCTTGTGGGACATATCGGCCTCCATGGCGGCGGCGATGCAGGACGAGACGGTGGTCGGGGGGGCCATTGGTTAGGGGCCCGCAAGGCTTTAAGGCTGCGAATATGTTCGCAGGAGCTGGCATTCGGGCGGCTTGTGTTCACTTCAGCCCCCAATGCCGGTGGGTGAGCTGGAGTTTGAGTAACATGACGGAACTAATTTTTGGGGGCCAAGACAGCGTGCTTAGAGGTCCTCCATCAGCAGTACGACATGGCTTTCCTCTTCTGCGTCTCGAACGGGTCAGGATGACATGAAATCGATAAAGATGCTGTTTCGCCCGATGACGGCGCGCCTGTGGGGGCGGGAACGTCTTGACGGGCTCTTCCGGTGAACGACAACCTTGGAGCGCTTCTCAGCTGCATGGCTATGCAGGCATGATCAGAGGCTGTGGAGAGGCCTGCAACAGACTGGTTATAGTATATGAGCACCTGCAGCCTCCCCTCCGACCTTCACACTTCTCACACAAGGCTACCAAATCACGCAACCACGCCCTCCCGCCCGACTTTTCGAGAACCGTTGATACGATGGCGACTACCGAGTTCGAAGATCAGCCTGTCCAGGATCTGGATGTACGTCTTGACGAAACCGTCGCCACTAGGGCACAGCGCTGACGAATGACCAGACACAGACACAGACCGAGGATATGGACATGAGCGACACAGAAGAGGGCAGGAAGTCATCAGTCCGTACCAGACACGACGCGCCGGATGTAAGTTTGGAATCCTCTCACATGCTGACCTTCCCCCCCCCACCCCTCATGCTGTATTCGATATCATTTACC